ATAATACTGTATATATATATATGCTGTTGTCTGGAAAAGGTCTGACATGATCCACAACTGGCAGATTAGCTCCACTTCTGTGATCATAACAGTATCATCAGTTTTGTCAGATTAGTACTCAGTCAATGCTTGAATGAGAAAAGATGTCATCCATTTGTAGTTTTCCATGTTGGCATGATGAACCTGTGGAATGTGTCAAGACTCCAACTATCCTTGATAAAGGTCAAGTCCCAGAATGCATCTGAGCAGGTTTCAAGCTTCCCAATGTTGAACATTTTACAGGAGTTATGAGGAAGAAAAGTAGAATTGTGAATTGGCGGAACAATGGTGGGTGGGCATATAGCCCTTCTGTCTCGTGCTAGTGAGATGCTCACAGTCCAGAAAAATAGCCTCGATTCAGTTAATCTCTCAGCAGGACGCTTCACACACATCTATTTCTACCATTCTCAGCTATGATTTTCAATACTCACCTTGCTGCCTTTTACTAACACCATTAAGCAGTGTGTTGACCCATTGAGTTTGCCAGTCAATGTGAGACTGTTTCCATGGTAACCTTGGATGTACATCCGCTCTAAAAATGTGGACGTGATGTCAATGCGTTATGCAGAAGGACTCAGTTTGTAACTTAAACTCAGAATGCCTTGTACTCATTTATCCTTTTTTTATTTCCTGGGAGAACAATAATAGGCTTACTTTGTTTTATTGTTGCCGAACCAGAGAAAAATCTCTGCGGAGTCCTTCTTACCATTTCTCATGTTAGTTTGCTATTTTTTATTTTCTAATCCATCTTATTTGTCTCTGCCTTTTGCTTGACAAGGTGAAAGTGATGATGCGTATCTGTCCATCTCTGGAGGCTGCAGACTCCTCAGAGTTTCAGTCCTTCCTAAAAGTTGACAGCAGGAAGAAGCAGCTCACCCTCTATGACTCTGCATCCAGCCCCCACTCCAGCTCAGGGCACAGGAGATCTGCCACTGTGGCCGTCCCAAAGATATTTGCCTTTGATGCTGTTTTCACCCAGGATGCTTCACAAGTAAGAACCATTGTGTGTTTGTACGTGTATTTTTAAAGTGCTTGTTGGAAATTCAGTCCCTCAAGGACAAAGGGACATCTTTATGTTCACAGGGTGTGACCAGGGGCTTAGAGAAAAATGCTAGTCTTGGGTCAGGGGGCATTCCTACTGATGTGGGTGTAACAGCTGGGACTTTTGGGCTGTCTGAGGAATGGTTTGAATTCAGTCCACTTATGTCTAACCTCTACTTTCATAGAACACCTAGCACACAACACCAACTGAGACAGACCAGCTTGGTTTTCTGTGCAGTTTTCAGAAAATTACAACAGTTTTGAAACAAATTTTGAAATCTGTGTTTATTTTGTTATCAGCTATGAGGTAAACCTAACACATCTTCTATCATATCACCTACATCAATCAATACTTTTCATTTGAAAACTGATACTGACAGTTGAGCTTGAGACTGAATCTCATTTTCAACCCCTTGGCCTTGTATTTGGTTACCCTTCAATAAACCCATTCACCATCCATTGTCATTGATACATCTTTTCATAAATACATAGTGCATTATCAATACATGGTAAAACACGTATTGACCCTAGCATGTATTAACACACACTTTTATTTGAAGTGGGCCCCTGAAAACATGTTCATTTGAAGGGCCAGATAGCCGTACCTCTTCACCCTACCACTGTTTCTGCCTTAAAGCTGAGGCCGCCTTGAACAAAATATAAACACAACACTTATTTTTGCTACCATTTTACATGAGCTGAATGTGCACAATAGGCTTTACAGTCTGTGGTTGTGAGGCTGGTTGGATGTACTGCCAAATTCACTGAAACGCCTTTGGACACAGCTTACAGCAGAGAAATGAACATTCACTTCAAAGGCAACAGCTCTGGTGGACATTCCTGCAGTCAGCATGTAAATTGCGCGCTCCCTCAAAACTTGCAACATCTGCGTCATTGTGCTGTGTTATAAAACTGCACATTTTAGAGAGGCCTTTTATTGTGGTCAGCCTAAGGCTCACAGTGAAATAATCATGCTGTCTAATCAGCATCTTGATTGCCACACCTGTGAGGTGGATGGAATATCTCGGCAAAGTAGAAGTGCTCACTAACACAGGTTAATTTTTTTGTTTTTATTTAATTTAGTTATGCATTCATTTAGTAGAAACAAACTAAATAAAGCAAATTCATCAAAAAGAAAAAAGCAATGAATGAAAAGGGTGCAGAAAGAAGAAAAAAATATAATACATGCCCCTTATTAAAAAAAACTAAACTTTAAACAAACAGCACCTTACGCTTGAATATCTTCAAAGTGAAAACAAAACTATTAGGCATCCTTCACTTGGCACTATACTTTCCTAACAATTTTAACTTAATCATATTTTTAAACAAATACATTGTTTTAGATTTTTTTATGGTGATATCTAGGCGATTCCACAATCCTATTTCCTGAATTACAACGCAGCTCCTTCAGACTAGTTCTAAATGGAGGTTTTACAAACATTTCCATTCCCTTAAGGATATAATGACTCTCTTTTTTAATACATTTTAATTGAATATTTGGGGGTAATATTTTTTATGAGCTTTATACATGACTGGCAAAATACTATGTTCAACTAAATCATAAAATTTTAATAATTTCAACTGATGAAATAATATATTTGTTGGGTGACCATAGCACTTCCTATTAATAATTCTTATAGCTCTTTATTGTAAAATAAAAATAGGATTTGTAATTATTTTGCATGCTTTTCCCCAAACTTCAATACAAAAGATTAAATATGGAACAATCATTACATTATACAATATATACAAAGCTTTGTCATTTAAAAACTATTTTATTTTATACAGTAATGCAATTAATTTAGCTATTTTTATTCTTAAGTAATTTACATGAGATTTCCATGTCAGCTTCTCATCAATAACGACACCCCCAAATTTTATTTCATTAACTTTATGAATTTCAGTACTGTCAATTTTAAATGGGAATTGGATAATTTTATTTCTATTACTAAATATCATGTAGTTTGTTTTTTCCCCAATTTCATGATAATTTATTAAATTGGAACCAAGTTTGTATTTTTACGAATTATGCCTGGATCATTTCTAACATCCGTTCAATATCTTCACCCGAACAAAAAAAGTGGTATCATCTGCAAATTAAACACACATCAAAAGCCCCGACACATCCATCAGATCATTCACACACAAAATAAACAACTTTGGTCCCAACACGGAGCCCTGAGGAACTCCACATCCATTCACACTAAATTCAGATCTTACATCATTTACCTGTACAAACTGTCTCCTATTATTCAAATACCTAGTTACTCATTGTAGTGCTAATCCTCAAATGCCATATTTATTCAGTTTTTCAAGGAGAATGGTGTGGTCAATAGTGTTGAAGGCCTTTTTTAAATCAACAAAAACACTAACACAATATTGTTTCTGATCAAGAGAAGTTATCTCTTCTATTAGTTCCAGATTTTTCCAGATTTACACAAATTTGAGAACAATATTTGAGGGAAAATGGCCTTTTGTGTACAAAAAAAAGTCTTAGATCTTTTGAGTTCAGATCATGAAAAATGGGAGCAAAAACAAAAGTGTTGCTTTCATATTTTTGTTCGGTATAGATTGTGCTGTACTGCTCTGCTGGTGGCAAACAGTCACACCAAACATCTGCTGGAAGAGGTTATGTTTGCTGTGTGGTATATAAAAAAGAGCCCCCCTGCTGCAGAAGCCTTCCCTCTGAAGATCTCAGCTGAAACAGATTGCAGAGACAAGCCACATGTTGCAACACTCATAAAAATACACATTGTTTTATTGATCCTTTTGAATTATTGTTTCCAGTGTTTGTCTTAAAGTGTTTCCCAGATGTGTCTGAACTGTAAATTGACTGTGACTGAGTGAGGGGTTGTTATTTTCTGTTTCTCACAGGCTGAGGTGTGCTCAGGGACAGTAGCTGAGGTCATCCAGTCAGTGGTAAATGGTGCAGACGGCTGCATCTTCTGCTTCGGTGAAGTCAAGCTCGGTAAGCTCTTCCAACGGCAACAAATACGACAACACGTGCCTTTATTCAGTCAAAGAAAAACTCTTAGCTTTTCGTTAGCTACACTTGATGTCCACAATTGGCTTAGCGGTGCACTGAGGTGAGTCAAGAAATGAGAGATGGGAGGAAAAAAGAATGGGTAGCGAGTTTGAGGAGGGTGTGAGGGATAAAGTGCTGCATCCACGCTTCAGGGCTCAGTCTTTAATTAAAATCTTAGTAATTGGTCTGGCCGGTGCTCTCAGGCTGAAGAGCTTGTTTTCCTCATGCCGCTGTTAGCTATAATTCTCCACAGAATGACTGCTCTTGGAATAAGTCCTTGAATTAGCATTTGATTTTTTTAACTTGTTCTGAATATTACATTAGATTTTCCACATTAGCTACATTTTTCAGCAGCAATTTTTAAATCTGAAAAATTCCAACGAGTATTTATTTCTTATTGAAGACTGTACCCACTCCAAGCATCTTAACGAAAGTAAAATAAATGTTAGCTGGAACCTATGAAGAGGTACGCTTCCATTTTTATTTTCCTGTTTTGACCAGGCAAGACATACACCATGATTGGCAAAGACAGCTCCACTCAGAGTCTAGGCATTGTGCCTTGTGCCATATCATGGCTCTTCAAGCTCATCAACGAGCGCAAGGAGAAGACTGGCACACGGTTTTCCGTTCGTGTTTCTGCTGTGGAAATCTTTGGAAAAGAGGAAGAACTGAAGGACTTGTTGTCGGAGGTGTCAACAGGCAGCCTGCAGGAAGGCCAATCTCCAGGAATCCATTTGAGGGAAGATCCCATCTGTGGCACGCAGGTGAGCAGCTTTCAAACTCGCGCTTTCTTTGTTCACTGATCCTTTCATGGGTTAAAATACTAGTCTGTCTTGAGTATTGATTTTTTCTCTGTCTATGATTTATCCCCTTTATTCTCTTTCAGAGGTTTAAACTTTCTTGAAACTGCATGTGCTTTTTCTTTTTTTGATTTGATCTCCCAGGACATTCCAGTTTGTCTTGCTCTATTCTTATCGTGTCTGAAATCCATGATTTAAATTTCATCTGAATCCATCTATGTTATTGAAAGCTTTCTTCTTCAGTCTTGTATTGACACTCCTGTCAGAGCATCTATTATGCATGAATCAGAGTTAGCCCTCTATGGCACAGTAGAAATATTATTGGGGGATGGGGCAAACTGCAGGTTTGAAGGCACTCCCAGGTGTTGCTGACAGATGTTGTTTTTGGGGATATCTGTGGACTCCGACTTCAAAGGGGCTGCAGTTCTGTGAAACACCTCTTCCTCTCGGCAGTCACTTGCTCGCTTCTTCATCTTTTCTGCCTTTTCTCATTCCTATTCCCTCTTTTATTTTTGTACCCTCATCACATCATGTGGAGGGAGCTACCGTAGCCTCCTGCTCTTGCATTACCTCTCCTAATCCTCCTCCCTCTGTGTGCATATCTCCGGTTTTAATTGCCCCTGAGATACATTCTAATGGGCCAGAAATGTATGCTAGGGTCCAATTAACTGGATCCCCTCACTTTATAGTGCCTCCCTTTTCACGTATAGCCTCTTTCCCAAGCCCTGTGTGGTCTCTTCTCCTCACCCCAAGGCTGATCTGTCTTCTCCTCCCAACCTGCAGCTCCAGAATCAGAGCGAGCTACGTGCCCCTACTGCTGAGAAAGCCGCGTTCTTCCTGGACGCAGCCCTCGCTGCACGCAGCACCAGCAGGCCAAACGTTGATGAGGATGAAAGACGCAACTCCCACATGCTTTTCACTCTGCACATTTACCAATATCGCATGGAGAAGAGCGGCAAGGGTGGAAGTTAGTATTACTGCATTGCTACTGAGAATCTAGTTTCAAGCCTGCACTGGAAGTGAAAACTTATAGTTAACCACCTGGTTTATAAAATAGCTGAATTTGGCTTTTGTTAACAAGAAATTTATTAAAATTCACATGCAAATTGCATATTAAGTTTTGAAACCTAACTTATAATATTTAGAAATGCTTTAGGTGTGTGACATTAGAAGTTTTTCATGCAAACAAACTTCCTGTTACTGAGAGTTAAACATCTGGTGGGAGCTTTACAGTCTGGCCACAGTCTGAATCACCTCATCTTACTCATAAATGAAGCAGACAGCTCAGACAGACCTGTGCTACTCCTGTCATCATGCCACAGTTTCTGAGGAAGTATACGCTCACAGTGGGAGTATCTGTGTTGTGCTCACCTGGTTTTATTTTTGCCGTTGTTCCAGTGTCGGGCGGACGAAGCAGACTGCACCTTATCGACTTGGGAAGCTGTGAAAAGGTCCTAAGCAAAAGCAGAGATGGAGGCGGAGGCTTATGTCTTTCCCTGAATGCACTGGGAAATGTCATAATGGCTTTGGCAAATGGAGCAAAACATGTACCTTACAAGTAAGTAAACCACCATTAGTTTTAATGTCTTGTTCTGTGCATTTGCCTTTAAGGATTTTGTGTCTGTATGTTATTTATATTGAAGAAATCACAGAGACACTCTGCTTAAATGAATAACGTGTGACAGTTCATTCAGTCTGTTTAATTAGGCTTAGATAATGAGTTAAACACAATCATATATTTTAAGTGTAAAAAACGTAAATGACTTGTGTTTTTCAGTTCTGCGTACTAAAGACAGCTGCACGTACAGTCATGTCAGCTACCGTTATCATTTGTTTTACAAGATAACTGTGTTGTTTGCTAATAACACTGCTAATGCACCCTCCAGGGACAGCAAACTGACAATGTTGTTAAGGGAGTCCCTCGGCAACATCAACTGCAGAACCACCATGATTGCCCACATCTCCGATGCCCCAGCCAACTATGCTGATTCACTCACCACCATCCAGCTGGCCTCCCGCATTCACCGCATGAGGAAAAAGAAGTCCAAGGTACAGCAATATCCTGTTTAACATCACAAATTAATTTATGCAGCAATTAATTAACAGTCGAGTGCAAGAAATAAAAATGTTTACATTTTCCCAAGCATTTTTCCCTAAATTATTTTAACATTCTCAAATTCTAAGTTAACGAAGCAGAGTCATTTTATTTTAAGTGTGACCTTCGTAAATATAGGCTTTCACATTAAAAGCAATGCACCATTTTGCAATTTGCTTAACATGATTATACATTTTAACTTCTAAACATGTTCTTCCTCCTGTAATTTTGGAGCTATTAAGTGAACAAATGATGCTGAAAATGAATTATTATTACTGCTGTACTTGAGAACTAGTTTTTTCTCAGCTTCTCAACACATAATCATATAATCAATACCACTGCCTAAGAATGTGTGCAATACTGTCCCCTAGATTAGGGAAATAAATGCTCGAGATAATTAGGTGCAATGGCAGTGTGTATTCATTTGCTATAGGTCCCAGTGATGACTATTATGCTGTCCTGGTACAGCAATTTATATATCTGACAGTACCTTCCATGTGACTATCGATGTGCACTTTTAACCTTTAGATAAATATTGATCCATAATGAAAAATGATTTTAAAATGCTATAAATTAAAATAGCTAAACTGTATTTTGTAAAATGCCAGAATATACTTGTATATGTTTAATTAAAGAAACGTGATTGATGTTAAATCCCAGTCCTCAAGGGCATGTTTTTTTTAACCTTCTACAATGCACCTGATTCAATGGTAAACAACCTCCTCAGCACCTCCTCAAGTTCTGCAGAAAAATATTAACAACCCATTCATTCAAATCAGATGAGTTGAAGCAAAGAAACATCTAAACCATGAAACACTCATATACCAAACTATTTACTTAATGTCCTTTGCAAAGAGACCTCATCAGGAAAGCTTACCCACTGATTTTAGAGGCACATTTTCAGTACAGACATTTACAGAATGCGTTAGTCTGATTACAAATCGGCATATAATCAAAAGTATTTGAGTTGTGATCCTGAAGTGATACGTCCTTTTGATCATGCCTTTTTAACATGCAAAATATTTATATATGCTCTGATTTTGTCTTTTTTTTTTTTAAGTATGCATCCAGTTCATCTGGAGGGGAAAGTTCTTGTGAGGAAGGGAGGGTTCGCCGGCCACCTCACCTAAGGCCTTTTCACCCTCGGACTGTAGCCCTGGACCCAGACCTGCCCTCCCTGCTCAGTGACCCAGAGTACTCTTCAAGTAGTGAACAGTCTTGTGATACTGTTATTTATGTGGGCCCCGGGGGAACTGCAATCTCAGATAGGGAGCTTAGTGACAATGAAGGTCCACCTGCTTTTGTTCCAATTATCCCTTCGCTGAACAGGAAGAAATCTGCTAAAGAGGGCCCTCTGGACAGAGATCAATTCTTTAAATGCAACACATTTGCTGAGCTGCAGGAAAGGTTGGAGTGTATAGATGGCAGTGAAGAACCTACTGCCTTTGTTGGAGAGGGCAAGAAAAATCAGGCTAGTCCTAAGACTGACAAAGCTAAGGAGAGTCAAGGCTGTAATTCACCAAAGACTGTGGCAAACACTACTAACAACCAGGATGGAATCTCAACCAAACAATTTCCCACACCTGTCCCGACACAAGCATCCTGCAGTCCTAATATTACATCTAAACTGGACACTGCCAAGACCCAATTCTTACCTGAAGAAAGGATGCCATCAGATAATATTCACAACATTTGCAGAACCAGTGCAGATGGTGAGAAGTCCTTGATCTCTGAAAGCAAGGTTAATTCTAACCACCTGACAACTTCCATAGTACTGAACTCAGAGCCTGTGGTGAGGGAAAAAGTTTACCCAAACAAGAAGGCTTTGCCAAAGCCAGCACCACCTCCTTTACAACAGAAAGAAAACGTAGAGAATGAAGAAAGATTGAGCACCAGAATTCCACCTGTGGGTATGAGCCACCAAGCTGTGAAAAGAAGGGACCTATGCACGTCCCCTTTTTTAAGAGGTCCAATGGAGGTTTGCCAAGTCCACTCAACTATGAGGGAAAGATGCATGGATAGGGATATCCTTAGAGCTACTGTCACTCTGCAGCAGCCTGTGGAGCTAAATGGAGAGGATGAGTTAGTGTTCACTGTGGTAGAAGAGCTGTCTATTGGCAGCATTGTGGATAAAGGTCGGCCATCAAGCATCATTAGCTTTAACAGTGACTGCTCACTTCAAGCCTTGGCCTCTGGTTCCCGACCTGTCAGCATCATCAGCAGCATCAATGATGAATTTGATGCCTACACGTCAACTGCTGTAGGAGCTGAGGTCAATGTTGCTGTGGTCACACCATTTCAGGAGGGTGTAATGGAAGGTATAGACAGCAGGGGTTCATCTATCAGTTCTTGGCTTAGTGAGGTTAGTGTCTGCACCTTGGAAAGTGATTGTGCACATTCTACAGATGTTTTCCTACCACAGGTAAAACCCATAGGGTCAGAGGCCACCTTTTACTTTGATGCACTTGACATGTTACATTGTGCGTCATCCACAAGAGATCCTAAGAACTCCCTAAACGACAGTGGTTTTGGTTTTTCTGAACAAGATAGTGACAGCACTGCCTCAAGCAAACTATCACTGACAAAGTGTCCGCCATCGCCAGAATCTACAAAAGGATCACTCAGATTCACATCCAAATTAACTAAAGCTCACTCACTGAGCTCCTCTCCACCTCCACAGGGCACCTCCATAGTACACTCCAGCCTTCCCAGGAAGATTAAACCTACCTCATCAGTTTCTCACAGTAGTAGCAGTAGCAGCAGCAGCAATAGAGATCCACCAAGGCAAGAGGCTAAACAGGAGGATCCCTGGCAGCGCAGCAACAACCACTCAGAACCTCAGAATTCTGACTCCAGCAGCACCAGCAGATTTCTCCGAAATCCCCCTATGGGTATTTTTTCCAGCAAAACACCCAACAACAGCAACAGTGTACCTCGCCCACCTAAGGTGTCAGGTTCTACCTCAACTCAGAGAGTGGTTGATGGCTGTGAGAAATCAGCTACTAAGAATCCACCCAGCAGAATGCCCCAGTTGAGACGAGGTGCCACCACTTTGGGAACAGTGCCTGTTATTCATTCCTCAACAGACCACAAAGGAACACAAGATAATATTGCATCTGCCACAAGTTTTAAGTTTTCCTCTCTGGGGAAAAACAATAAGGCTAACTCACAGAAACAAAGTAATCTCCCTAAACCTGGCTGTGTCTCACCACCTCCCCCTCCAGTTAGAAAGTCTAGCCTTGATCACAAGACCAAGATCCTGCTGCCCCAAAGTGCCTTAAAGTCAGCATATGGGGAGGCAGGGAGGACCTCTGGGACAAGGGTTGCTGTATCAGAGGATGAACTTGAAGTACATCAAAAAGTTGACTCTACAAATTTGAAAACTTCCAGCCTGAACATAGCCAAAGTTACCTCCAGCCTGAAGGCCAAAGGTTCTAGAGGAGAGGCTGGGCTGCATTATGGCAGTCAAATGTCACTGGAAAAATGTGAGAGCCTGTCTTTATCAGGGTCCAGAACTGTGCTTAGTAGGGAGAACAGTGGGGCAAGTCTGGGTAGCAAATCTAACAAGTCTGTTCCAAGATTTGGTATTCCTAATTCATCCAGCTCTCCTATAGCTACCTTCCAATCAACTCAAAGCCCAGGAAATATCAGTAAATCAGGCCAGGTAAAAGCTTCTGTAAATCCAAGAACATTAGGAACAGTAAATGGTAGTAAAGCACGCTCACTGTCAGCCAACAACTCCAAGGGCCTCAGCTCCTCAACAAAATCTCTGGCCCCTCCTGTGATCAGAAACACCAATGCCAACCTCCCTCCATCAGGTCGAACAGCAACTCCACGGACTACTGCTCCAGTCTCTAGTAAGCCTGGAAGAGGAACTATCATGGGCACAAAACAAGCCATTAGGGCTGCAAATAGTCGTGTGAGTGAACTTGCAACAGGCAACATATCAGGCAAACATGGGAGAGGTTCAGGAGATTCAGACAGTGGGAATGACAGTGGGGTGAATGTGAATGATGACAAGTCACCTACAGCCATGCTGCCCTCACCATACAGCAAAATCACTGCACCAAGGCGGCCTCAGCGATATAGCAGCGGCCATGGCAGTGACAACAGCAGTGTGTTGAGTGGGGAGCTGCCTCCAGCTATGGGCCGCACAGCTTTGTTCTACCACAGTGGAGGCAGCAGTGGATACGAAAGCATGATCAGAGACAGTGAAGCCACAGGCAGCGCTTCCTCTGCCCATGACTCCATGAGTGAGAGTGGCATGTCATCTTCAGGCAGAGCAAGAAGTGCAAAGTATCCAAAGAAAAGAGCCAATGGTAAGAAAATTAAGTAGAAATGTAAAAGTTGCAATGCACATATCCAGAATGTTTTGGTATATTACTACATCTTTGTGACAGAGTTTCCTTTTATTTGATAACTATAGCATGGCATTTTTTTTTTTTTAATAGCATGGGATTCATATATTTTTCTCCAAGATTGTGAGAAAATACTACCAATCTTTGTCTAAGAATACTGTGTGTGTGTGGATTTTAGGCTTCCAGAGAAGAAGGCTAATCCCAGCACCCCTGCCAGACACACCAACCCTGGGGAAGAAGGTGGGCACAGCAGGCCAGTGGGTGGACTTGCCTCCTATGTCTGGACCGCTAAAAGAATCCTTTGAGATCAAGGTGTATGAGATTGACGATGTGGAACGGCTTCAAAGACGGCGTCAGGAGGAAACTACGGAGGTGAGCAGAGGGTCAACCCTCACTACTTCTTTAGGGTTGTTCATTTTGTTAAACTGGTTTTAAATAATGTCACATCTTGGTTGAGATCTTGTGACGCCCATCTCTTCTGACTGTGCAATGTTTCAAAAATGCAATGTGCTAATTCCATACATGCTCAACATGAGCCACATGGACTTACAGAACGTTGTGGGAATTTCTTGGATTCCTCTTCCCCAGTTTCTTTTCTAAAATCAGAACAGAAATAACTTGTCCCAGACGTCTGACCTTCAGACAGCTCAGCGGCAGATCTTAGAGTTAAAATCTTTGTGTTGAGACTCCGGGAGCTTGATATTTTGGCAGTGTTCCTGATAAATGCCAAGAGTTCAAAAGGCAATTACAGATGAGGCTTAACTTATTTAGATATGAGAAATGACTCGGCTTGGTGCTGTTAAAATGGTGGTGTAAAAAAAAGAAATGGAGATTAAATAAAGTCCAACAAACAACCCAAATCAGTTAACACATAACACTCATCAAAAATACATTAAATCTGTCATAAATTGTAGTTTAATTTAGTGCTTAAACAAGAAGTAATAAACTGCGGCTGTTTTCTGAGACTTTGCTTTTCCTTAATAAAAAAAAAAAAACTATTAAAAGGTTTTGGTCCCGCCGTTTATGTGTAACATAAATCTTCCACTGATGACGGTATTGTAGGCTTTCCATTGACACAAGAATCTAACATGTTATATTTCTTTTTCTTCATCAGCCGTTTCAAGATGTTGACAAGGTGAGTCTATTTATCTGTTATTAACATTTATTTGCAACCAGCAAAGATTTTATGTTTGATGAAACACATATTTCAAGGACATCATAGTTTTTATTTGCTTAGAAATTTAAAATGTAAAATTTATCATTGGTGGCTTGAATAAAAAAACAAACAAAAAAAAGACAAAGTCTACATTTCACTCCTGACAGAAAACTTGGCATGTTTTCTTTTTTCTGAACTTGTAATTATCTACTCTTAACTTTATGAGCAGCCACGCAATTAATGACCCCTTTTTGGGGTCCTTCACAGTGTCCCTTAATGCTACGCCCCCTTATTCTTCATTAATTTCTCTTTTTTTCAGGGCTTGCTGTATTTTAACAGTAAGTTGAAGATTTTGGAGAGAAGGCAACAGCAAGTGAGAGAACTGAGGGTGAAGCATCAAGTGTTGCTGGAGGAGCTGGAGGACACAAAGGTGCGGCTGATGATGGATTCGAGCAAGTGGCTTGGAGAGTGTAAGTAAATATCGATATTTACCTTTTCTAAATTTCACTCCTAAACATGAAATAATAATATGATATAAACCAAATGGTAAAATGTAATTGTTTCAACAGTTGAGGTGGATCCCAGTTTGGACAAAGAGTCTCCAGAGTACCTGGAGGCATTGGCTCAGGCCACAGAGGAGCTGGAGTTTTGTGTCAACCTGTGCAAGTCCCATGTCATGATGGTGACCTGTTTTGACATTAGCTCGCCGTCAGCGTGTGTCACTCAAGAGGGCCTGCTGCGTGAAGTTGAAGTCTGACGACCAATGAGAAGTAGAAGTGGAAAAAGAAGAGGACGTGAGAAGACAAAGGAAAAAAAGAAATGTAGCAGTCAGTTTATGGATTTTACCTTAATGAAGAACAACAGACAAGAGGGGAGACCAGAGCGGAGCTTTGCTTAAAAACAGAGAAAATCATTAGTGCTGAGCTACAGTGCCTCGTTGTCTCTAAGACATAGCAGAGAAATGAAGCGTGAGCACAAATGCTGTTGTCTTGGCAACATAGTGGCTATCACTTATGGAGAAGTCAATGAACAACACCCGGAAGTGCCTTTTTTACCGTTTAGTTTGAGTAACTATTTTTCATATGGTGCAGGCATAAACCTGAACATGTTCCTTTGAAAAAAATATTTTATATTGCATTGTATAGTGTATTTAAATGAATGTGTGGTGTGTATAGTTTTTCTTTTGAGAGGCGGGATAAAAAAAGAAAAAGTTAGCAATAAGCTAATGTTACTGCGCTCCCAGACTTTGCCTTTTCTCTTGTTTCAAACCTCAGCATTTTATCCATGTTCACTCAGCCTCTTGCGCCTTAAGTTAAAAGTCTGGTTTTGTAATAATTTTATTTTTTACTTCGAAACCGGGCTTTGTTATTTCATCAAGTTGCATTTGCCGTTTCCTCTCCTGCCAGCTGGTCTGTAAACGTTGGCAGGGTTGAATAAATATGTTCCCTTCAGTTGCCTTGAAAATGGGTTTTAGATGCTCTAAGGTAAAGAATAATGATTGAGGGCAGGAACGTTTATTCAAGTTGCCCAAGTTTAGCTCGCTTGAACTGAGAAATGAAGCCAAGACAGTCAGAGGGTCACTATGATGGATGAAGAGGGATTATTTGCGATTCAGCCATGATTTCCGGTGCCTCAGTAGGTGGTCATGCAAACCTGAGAGATTTCCTTAAACTCACCTGTGACAGTAGTTACTATAAAAGAGGTCCTCATCAGTAAACCACATTTCTCTGTAAATGGGGTTTGACTGGGAGCTTTATACACAGTAAGACAAACAGATGAGACAACGCCAACCTGCCAGCCTTTTTTTGTACAGTACTTTTCCCAAGTGCTGCCAAACCTTGGTTCTATGCATCCCAATACATTTATACCACAACTATTTTGAGATATTCAGTACTTTGAAGTCAGAAAACACACTTTGGCATTGGTATATCAACAACATTGATTTTATATCTCAGACAAAGCCTCATGAATTGTGAGTTTTCCATAAAAGCATGCACAGCTTACACAAAGAAGACAAAAATGATTGGTGAAAACGATTGTTCTTAAAAGAAAAATGCTTATAATGTACGATGGTGTGTTTGGTTTCTTTTTATATGATAAATAGGACTTTGCTTTGTTTGTTTTCCAAAAATGTACTCTCTCAGGCCCTCTCTGACAATGCTGCATGAGATTTTTTAATCATTTATAAGGATGATTTTTACTCCCATTTTTACCATTCTAATTTTTTTTTTTTTTACAATAATTTTAAGTTTTCACTGATGTAGAATTAGGCTCAGTAAGTGAAAAAAACAAAAACAAAAAACTAAGACCCTTTATCCGTGAAGATGATAGGTCGTATTTCATAACAAAACCCATATTTTCTAATGTCTTTGTTTTTGTATAGGATTTTTAAAAACCTTGTGTAAAAATGTATATTATGGCAGCTTGTGTTTTCTTTTACAGCACCTGTGAATAAAACGTTTCTTCTTACTGATGACTCAACGATTGTTACTTTATGTCCTTTACAGAATTGTTGTATTAGCATTGCTAAGAATAAAATGAGTGTTAGCGTACTTGAAATGCAGCAAAGAAGGAACCCTGCAGACTGGATTATAAAACTGGTACATTCTCTAAATTGGCAAAGGTACAGGCTGTAATGTTGAGATGTTAGACAGAGATTTCCATTAGTTTATAATAAAACACGCAGTATTATAAGAAACTGAAGAATGTGCAGACAAAGGTGCTTTCAGTTTATGAAACCACAAACATTAAGAAGGCCATATCACTAATTTATGTTACATGTCCTGATGCATGCTCAATAAACCAGTCAGGCCAGGTACTTCGTTAAACTTCTGTCTATCCATCCGTCCATCCATCCGTCCATCCATCCATCCATCCATCCATCCATCCATCCATCCATCCATCCATCCATCCATCCATCCATCATCGCATGGTTCAATTTCAGAGAAAATTACATTGGTGAACATAAAAATAGATAAACCCAATAGAATAAAACTCTCTAGGAGTTGGGCATATCATACATTTACAGTATATAAAGATTTCATTAGAGCATGTGGGTTCATATTTATAACTTCAGAAGAAAGGGCTAAATTAGACTTTTCTTACACAAATTTAAATTAAAAAACAAACAGCAAGTTGTGGAAGCCCATAATTTAAACAACTGAAACTCACCATTCCTCAAAATGATTTTAAGAATAACTTACACTAACTTAAAATAGCTCAATATTCTAACCTATAATGTTTCATTTTTATCATTGTGAAAATGTATATTTTTTATTTTCTGTTTCAACTGACCTCCCTGCATACTGCTACCCATTTGTCATGACCTCCTTTGCCCTTTTTCTTGTTTTTCTGGTTTAAAATGTTAAGATGTCAATTCAGCAGAACATAAAGTAATATACCGTACTTTCTGCCGTATAAGTCGCATCAGTCCAAATATGTCTAATGAAGTGGGAAAAAAAAACATAAATGAGTTGTATCACTAATGATCAGTTGGTACTGTTTATAGGGTTGAGTTTGCTTGCAGCTCCTCAGACAAGAAGTTTTTTGCATAAAAGACGAAATATTACATCAATGAAAACCTGCCGAGAGAACCTGACTCAACCTTGTTAGATTCACAATATTTTAGTGTTGCAGAACATTACATTATTATTCCAATTCAATATTTTGTAAACTTGGCAAGTAAAGAAAATAAGAAAAAGTTAATTTATTTGATTGTTTCTTTGTTATAAAAATGCTTATTGGCAAAATATCTTATTCTGCTGGAAGGCCTGTTTATTTCCCATTAAATGGTGCCACATTTGTTGGGAAAATGCATTTGCAGATTGAACAGCAGAGTTGTGTTAATGAAAAAACGACAAATCTCTGCCAATACCAACTTTCTGTATTGACTTTTGTTTGGTGTTGTTTATTGAATTGTATGATTGAAGTCTGGGGGGAAAAAAAAGCCAAAATGGTATTTTAACAGTTTATTAATGTACCAAAAATGGACCCCCGTAGCATGTGGAAGAACCATACACAGCCACAACAACCCGGTACCTCCTCCTCATTCTGCTCATCAACTTGATCACACACTGCTGCCAGACAACATCCCATTCTTCAACAAGCATTTGTCCTAAGTCAGTCAGTATGGTTGTGTTGGTCCCTCTGGACTGACAGCATGCCCAAGCTGATCCCACAGGTGCTCATAGGGTTGAGGTCAGGACTGCAGGCAGACCATTTAATTATTGCCACTACTAAATTTTGGAAATATCTAATAAACCATGCTCCATGGGGGTGATCATTGTCATCTTGGTGGATAGTTTTGTCCCAGACTGTGAAGATTTAGGGATGCCATTGGTTGCTTACAGCTGCTGACAATCAGGCGCCAATCATGAACCTGGTTGCCATCACTAGGGGAACCAGAAGCTCAAAGCAATAGAGTTAAGAGTTCTTCCACAACACAGATGTGTGACTGTTTCCTCAATCAAACAACATCTTTGTCACTACATGAATGTAGCATAGACATGTATGTCTGGCTCCGCTGAATGTATCAGTCCACTACCTGATCAGCAGGCCTTGCCAGTCAAAGATTTATTCACACTATTACTACTTTTTTATTTTTAATATATTTGTTTTGTGAGCCTGAAAGCTATATGGGCCCTTTTTTGACTACCCATTAGCCTAGCCTGGTGGAAGACTTATTCCTTTATCCTCACATTCTGTGGCCTTCAACTGATGTCACCACTTTTATGTTACTGATTGACAGATCCTTACTTGAAAATGGCCACAAAATTCCTTTAAAGTGACCTCAACTTATTTAGCTTTTTGGATTCAACCTTGTCAAGATTTTTAAAAACCCAACCTCATACTTGCACTGTTTTTTGGAGGGAAAATGTCAATACCCCATGAAGCACAGTTGTGTGGGTGTGTGTATGGGGGAGGGAGGCAAACATTTTGCCCAGCGGCTGATAATTTAAGGACTTTTCTCCACACCAGCTTGTTGTAATTACTGGGAATAAGTGGCAGCATGTGGTCAGGTTTATGAGGCTTCTTCAAAGAGCAAGCTTGGTTCAGACAGACCAATATGTGTGACTGCAGAGCAGTAAATTTCAAAACTGATCAACTACTACCACTAACAGTGAGTGTGGGTTTAAAAAAAAAACCTGCTACTTCCTGTAAAAATGCAACTGAAGCCATGATTCAGCTTCCGTCTTCAAACATGAGGCCATTTAACGTGAATGAGGAAATGGCACGACTTTAGAACGATTTTAATTGTCTTTAAATTGTTAATCTTGTACAAAATGTTCTAAACACAGTTGCGAGGAGAAATTGCTTAGAATTAAGGGTTTTTTTTTCTTTTAAACAAAGACTTTGGTTGAATTAGGACAGTGTTTGAAAAAATATATATATATTTAATAGAGAACTCTGAGATCCAGTTGGGTTGGTGGAAAGATGGAGCGAATCGTGACTTCTTAGTGAACTCCTTTTTATTCTCTCATAACACCCTGTTCCCTGCTAATGATGAGAGCCCTGAGGCGAGTGAGCGGGGACAAACAGGGCTGGTTGTGTTCAGACTGAGGCCATCAGGCATCTGCAACAGCCTCAACCAAATGTTTCCCCTTAGACTCAAAAAGCAACAAGAGGCAAGATTTCTGTTTAACAAAGCCAAAGAAAAATGCTCATCTTTCACATAAATAGTTTTGAAATAATTTGAAATAATCAAATCTGTGTGTTCTGAGGCACACAGTTTGATAACCCCTGTCCTGACAAAGACTGGAAATGAGCCAAAACCTACCAAGCCAGAAAGCAGAACTCTCATAGAATTTGATTCGAATCGCAGTGACCAGATGGTCTTAACCAGTCAACCAAATTAACCTCCCGAGCTTTTGATCAAAAGAGAATTAACAAGGAGGAGACAAGATGTTGTTGCACAGCAGGGATCAGCTTCAAGCTGAATAGAACCACTCAGAGTTACAGTATTTTAATCAACAGGCCTACATGGGTCGCACTGAACGTTCTGATACAGAACATCCTGCTGTACACACCTCCTCCTCCTCCTTATTTAATTTTATTCCCTTTTTATCAAATTCAACCCTTTAACCTTTTCGTTAATCTGACTTATATAAGTAAAAAACGATATGTACAAAACATTGCTATATTTTACTATACTACTGTATTTTTTGGCCTATAAGTCGCAGATTCTTGCATA